ATCTGTCAGAAAACATTTTAGCAGAAACTATAAAGAGGAGCATTAATCTTTAATTCAGGAGCCAGGCTCCACATATATAGGACACACTTGTCCTTCTTCAAGCTCAGCAACCGACATAGCCAAAAGCATCACGTCTTATTTATCAGAAAATGGCTTTTTACTTTACAAATTGGAAGTTATTAGATGTGACGGTACTGTTATTAATATCGGCTTAAGAAATGGGAAATGGAGTCATGTGTGGGAAGACCCCTACAATGGAGTATTTGTCTTCTCCATTACAACGAACTGCCATTCCGCCACCTTTTCCAACACTTAAATGGAAATACAACAGGCCCAATAGAATATTCCGGACCGATTGAAAAGGCCCTACCTGATTGTGAAAGACTACCAGTTGTTGATTTTAATCCTATTGACTATGAGATTCTAACAGTGACAAGCGTATTCTTAGCAAGGACCAATTATACTTGCTTGGGATATTAGAAGTCATCAAGACAGGACATTGTTCAGACGATTTTGTAGTACGTAATCCTGGCCCAATGTCACATTCAAGATGGCTTACTACGGCAAACCGAGTTTTGCGTATATACATGTGTGTCAAGCCCGTCTGAAAATCTGAGAGATATTGTCACATTCATTCTCAAATGTTATATGCTTATGTGGTTTGCCATAAAAATAAACCTCAAATTCACAGATGAACCTAAACATGTTTACAAAACTATTGAATCTTCAAGGTACTTATCAGAAGAGCTTCTTCAAGTTATTGATCCTGTTTTCTTCTTCTTCAAGTGCCCTGTCCGTTGCGAACGTTGGCTATTAACATGACAATTTTGATCTTGTTTGCGGCGCTTCTGAATAGTTCGACCGATGTGAGCCCGAACCACTTCCGCAGATTTTGGAGCCACGAGTGCCTTCTCCTGCCTGGCCCTCGCTTACTGTCTATTTTTCCCTGGACAATCAATTGTAGCAGACGGTACTTATCGTGTCTCAATATGTGGCCTAGATATTCAAGCTTTCTTTGTTTAACTGTATTCACGATCTCTTTCTCCTTTCCGATTCTTTGGAGTACCTCTATGTTGGTGACATGTTCGGTCCAGGATATACGAAGAATGCGTCGGTACACCCACATTTCGAATGCTTCTAGTTTCCTCGTTAGCGTCTCTGTTAGCGTCCAGGCCTCCACGCCATACAGCAAGATCGGAAAAATGTAGCATTTAACTAGACGTAGTTTTAGGGGAAGAGACAAATCCTTGCTCATGAGGACCTTTTTCATATTGCTAAATGCTGCTCTAGCTCGTTCTATTCTCGCCTTAATTTCTATGGTCTGTTCCCATTTTGCATTTACGTTGGTGCCAAGGTACACATAAGATTCTACATGATCAATTAGTATGTTACTTATCCGTAATTGTCGAGCAGGTTGTTGCTTTTTGCTTATCAGCATCCACTTTGTCTTCTTGAAGTTGAGGCTCAGGCCGTATTCCTCACTAACTGAATAAAGTCTTTCCATTACTTGTTGTAATTCGTCTATGGTACTGGCAAGGATCACCGTGTCGTCGGCATATCTTATACTGTTCGTTAACTCGCCGTTTATTTTTATGCCCTCATTTGCATTTTCCATCCATGATCCTGTTTTACAACGGAATATTACTAGTATGTGAGTAATGATTTCAAGCCTGTTATTAGTATAGGTGCTTTCCCATGTCATACACAGGCAGTTGAAAGATGCGTTAAGCTAGTGACCGTAGCTTCAAGTAAAGTGTGTGGACACAGTTCGAGAGACGGTTATATTAGAACCACATTACTGTCGCGCTCAGCAATGCCAACTTTTTCACACAAATCCGAATTTTGATGTCTATCGATAAATAAAGACAAAAAAGTAAACATAAAGAAAGATAAAGGAAGCGAAATAAATTTGAACATATTGGAAATAACACACCTTACATTGGATGGTTGGTTGGGTAGGGTGTGGGAGGAACTCGAAGTGCAGCAACTCACCCCCCCCACCGTAGTAAATTTCTGGGTCGTTTTGTAAACAAAATGAGCGAAGAGCTGCACCAACAGTGAAATAGTGAAATAAAAAAATTACCAAATATTATAATGGCTGCAATCGCTAGCATTCGTCACTTCCGCCGCGCCTCTCGATAGCTTCCTATTTTGACGAATCTGCGCGACCGAATTCCATTTGAATATCCATTTGAATGAAGTTTATTTTATATGCTTGGATTTTAAATATATTATTATCATAGAATTAAACTATAGCATCTCTAAAAGTCGTATGATTTAAATGTACTAAACAGTCAAACTTTGAAATTTTGGAAATACTACTAATTTTACATCATCATATAACGGGGATCCTACGGCGATTGCCGCTTCCCGCATTTCAGCTTCTATCTTTTCCTATCTCTACAATCTCTCTCTTCTAAGCATATAGATTGCATTGTTTTTGTAATTTCTCTTCTCCAGAAATTTGGTGGTCTTCCTCTTTTCCCTATTTCTGGCGGAACATACATTAAGGCTTACTTTGGCCACCGCTCCTCCTCCATTCTCATCACGTGGCCATACCATTGTAATTGCTTTCCTTGTATTCTATCTGAAAGAGTCTCTCTAATTTCTGTACGGTTTCGTATTTCCTCATTCCTGGTTCTTTCCATTCTCGAACTCGACATGACCTTCTAAGATAATCCATTTCCACAACGTCTACTTTATCTCGTTCATTCTTTGTCATCGTCCAACATTCGGCACCATATGTGGTAATCGGTTCTACAATTGCTTTGTATACACGAAGTTTAGTATGCATCTTTATTTTGCTTCCTAGATATTTATACTGGTTGCAACCTTTTATGACTGCATTTTTATGTCTCAGATCTGTGGTAATTCCTCCAATTTTTAAATATTCTGTTTTGCTTATGTTTACAGTAAGCCCCCATTTAGCATATCCCTCAAATAATTTTCGATTCATATAATTTATATCTTCCTCAGCGGTTGCAACCACCACCTGATCATCCGCAAACAACAGTGTATACAGAGTTTCTTGTCCCACTTCGATGCCTATAAATCTACATTTATTTCTCCAATTCCTCAATGCTTCTTGGACGTATATTTTAAAGAGTGTCGGTGACAAACAGCATCCTTGCTTTAGACCTTTAGTGACTTTAAATTCATTTGAAGTTCTGGTTCCAATTTTTACACAACTAACTGCATTTTCGTACAATTTATATATCGCTCGGATATACGTCGAATCCAATCTGGACCTTTCGAGGACCTCAAACATTTTCTTTAACGTCATATGCTTTCTCAAGGTCTATAAATACCAAATGGGTTTTTCTACTTCTTTCGACACGCTTTTCAATTATTTGTCGTAGGATAAATATATTATCAAGGCAGGATCTCCCGGTACGAAAGCCGCTTTATTCTTCAATATCTTGTATCTGTCTTTCAACGCTCTTCTTTAATATTCTGCCGTACAATCGGCCCACAGAGCTCGTCACACTAATACCTCTATAATTGGAACAATCTCTTTTATTCCCTCTCTTATATATGGAGCTTATATAAGATTTATTCCAATCTTTAGGAATTTCCTGGTCTTCACACATACATTTATTAAAAAGATCTACTATTAATTCTAAAAGTGCAGTCGGCCCATATTTAACCAACTCTATGAAAATGTCTCCAGGCCCTGCGGCTTTTTCGTTTTTAACCTCTTTTAAGGTTTCCGTCAATTCAGATAATGTTATTATAGGGATTTCCTGTCTTTCGTCTCTCTTATCTATTAATTCTCTTATCTTGTCCCATCTGTACTCTACTCTATCCTCTTTCAGCAGTTTCGTATAATATTCTTCCCATTCATTTAACTTTATGAAAGGAATGTTGTCTTCATTTTTCTCATTTTTCCTAAACTGCTTTAATGTTTTCCAAGCTTGTGCCACTTTTGTTCCACCCATAAATCTTTAGTTCTCTACTAATTTTACTCATTTTGTATTATCTTGAGCGATCTGAAGATATAAAATAAATGTATTATAAGTGCATATATAATGATTTTACATACTTTTAGTAGTTAATTTATGGTATAGGAACGCAATTAAAACCTTCTGGTCTGATTAAAAAAACATAAAAAATTAAGGTTTTTCACAATTTTTTGCTAACTTCGAGGCATTGCGCGACCGGAAGACAAATTAATAAAAAAAATTGTGCTATTTTAATATCTATACCAATCGCAACTTTTGCGCACTATAGTGATCTGATCGTTTCCGCGTTTCTCCGGTGTTCGGGGTGATGACCACAGACTTTATAGCTGCATATATAGCAGCATACCACAGCATGGAGGATAGGGTGAACGTCATTTTTATAATGTAGATCACCCTACTCCATAGGTCGAAGAGGAACAATAGAATGGCTGCCTAGGTCACCTGATTTGACTCCACTTGATTTCTTTTTATGGAGTACTTGAAAAGTAAAGAAAACCAAAATAGACCACAAACGATTAATAAACTCAAAAAAGGAAACCTAATGAGTTTGCACAAATAGCTCCGGCAGTTAAAGAGAAGGTTCGAAAAAAATCTTCGCGGCAGGTTTTTCTCATTGTATTTTAGCCAAAGGTAAACAATTTGAACATTTAGTTTATGTTCCGTTGTATTTATTGAATAATACCTAATAAATATTTATTGTAATAATAAAAATTTGTTATTAATTTTTTAAACAAATACAAAATTCAATTACTCAGACATACTGATATGGCTAAATAAGAAGTATTTAAGAGACCTTTCAAATAATGTATAGCAACACTCACGTTTCCATTTAAAAATTTTAGCAATGACATCACGCTCGTAGATGACGTCAAAAGAAAAAGGTATCCTTAAAAATAGCCCGTTTAAAAATAAAAATTAACTGAATTTTTTCTTAAGTCGCCGGTTACGAGATACCGAATTTATTTCTTTCATTTAGAAAATAGAAGTGACAATCTTTACCATTGAAGATTTGTCCTCGTCATTTCTTGAATAAATTATACAGTTCAATTTAATTAGTAATAACTTTAAGTGCAATTTACCAATAAATGTATACATTCTCAATATTGTTCGACTAGAAATATCGGAAAAGATTCTCAAACAAATATTGAGTCAATACACAACAGATGTGATGCTACAAAAATATTAAGGAATATGTAGGAAATTTCGTGATTTTCTATTTGTTTTGAGTGGATCGTTTTTTTCTGACACGCAGTGTATAATTCGCTATTATTTTTAACCACTATATAAGATTGACATTGACACAAATGAAATGAAGTAAATGCGTGAATGTGGAAACTGGTTTCTTCATTTGTTCTCGACCTATAACAAAATTTAAATAGTGTTCAGAAATTAGTTGTCAGGTGTTTTCAATTAGCAGACAAAATGCAAAATTATTTTTTAATATTTTTTGTAAATTTGTTTGTTAATCTTTTGGCAGTGAAAAATCTACGTAAGTTTTTTTAAATAATTTTATTCTTTCAGTTATATATGAAAGAACCTTTTTATATATATATATATATATATATATATATATATATATATATATATATATATATATATATATATATATATATATATATATGTATGTATGTTCAATAGTTTTCTTCCATTTCTTCTTTCAACTTATATTTGCATTAAATCAATAGTATATCTTCGCAAGATATACTATTGCTCTTTTAAGCTTCCATATTTTAAAAAAAACAATAAAATTTGTTTCATTGCAAAAATTTGAATTTTAACTCGGGTTTTCATTTTGTTTCTTATAAATATTTATTGCTGTTCTAAACAAATCAATCGATCTGCATTGATACCAATCACGTAGATTCTTCAACCAAGAATTCTGCCTTTGGCCAACATATGTTCTTCCTTAAATCTTTCCCTGTATTGAGTCTCAAAATGTCTTATTTTCTTGTTTGTCTAGTGGTGATTCGTTCTGTTTCTTTACCAACCCTCTCCAGTAATTTTTTATTTTTAGTCTTATGAGTTCGTGATATTTTTAATACTCTGTGGTATAATCAGAGTTCGAAAGCTTCGATTTTTTTTAAATTGCATTTTTTATCATCGAATGATAATCGGGCAGAATTTAGTTCCGGGTGGTAGGAGTTTAAGAAAATAAAACGACTTAAAGGTAGTAAAATAACCCTTATATGCATAAGAAAAATATGAAAGTTGTAAGAAATAGAGATAGAAAACAGCTCCTGGAAGGAATTGGAGAAGTCCATTTTTGAGTAGTGGGACAATATAGGCTAAATTAAAAAAATCACATTATGTTATATGTCGAGTATGTCAAAACAATCGGGACGGTCGAATATTTCGCAAAATTTACAATGGATCGAAAAACTGAAAGACACGTTTTCAATATTTTTCAAAAATCTATCGAATGATACCAAAAATAACCCCCACACCCACCCTCTGGCTATAACCATAAAAAACTATTTATCCTGATACCCTATAGCCGAGCGGTCTACCTCTAAAAAGATGCTTAGAAACTGAATACACGGATCAAATTATTTATTGCATTTCTACCGCACCAACCATTTTTTAATTGATTCTATGGATTTTTTAAGTTCAAATATATATTTTTTTTTATTTGTCAAAGCGGGCTGGAAATTATTATTAACCATTTTAAGTTATTAACATATAACAATAAAACAATTTTACGAATCGCTTTGAGTAAAATTTTTTTATACGTATCTTATCAAAGTAAATACTTTTTCTATCTTTGCAATTTTTCGAAAAATGCTTCCTTTTAAAGTTGTTGCAGTTTTTTGTTGAAAAAAATGCCCTAATTAGTGATTTTTCAGATTATTTATTATTTAGGATTATTTATGAATAAAAACTACTAAATGAATTACAATTCTACAAAAAGCTTTATAATCTTTAAACATTCACGTATAAGTAAGAATATTTTGACAAGAATAAGTGGTTTCTATCTTGTTAAAAACATAGTTTTAAAATTTAAACCAAGATGTCTACTAAGCGCCGCCGCGGGCCTCTATCTCTGCAACCCTACACGCTTATCATCGTATCTTCTTCTTAACGTGCCCTATCAAGTCCCCTTGACGTTGGCGATTAACATGGCGAAACTGTCTCTGTCTCGAGCTATTCTAAATAGTTGCTCAGCTTTCTTTATTCCTGTCCACTCCCTGATATTCTTCAACCAAGAGGCCTGCTTTCTACCAATTCCTCTGCGTCCTCCGATTTTACCCATCATAATAAGTTGAAGAATATTATATCTTCCTACATTTGATGTTATCAAGCAGCTCGCGAGCAGCATTTGCTCTCTCAAGGACTGCCACATTTGTCAGCATAGCCGTCCATGGAATTTTTAGTATACGTCTGTGCAGCCACATTTCGAAGGCCTCCAGACGATTAATCGTCTGGAGCCTTTTTTTAATTTTTAATGTCCATGCTTCGACACCGTGTAAGAGGACTGACTAAATGTAGCATTTAACCATGCGCTTTTGAAGTTGAAGTTGCAAGATATCATTACAGAAGAATGACCTCATTTTTAAAAATGTCGTGCGGGCTATCTCGATTCTACATTTTATCTCTTGATCTGGATCTAGTTGTTTAGTAATATGGCAACCAAGATATTTAAAACTGGACACTCTTTGAATTATATGACCATCAACATATAATCGTGCATCTTGATATGCTAAATTCCATTAACTTTCACGCCCCATTCCAAATTATGCAGCGCTTCTTTAAATATTCTATCTGAATACAAATTAAATAACATACAACCTGTTATTTAATTTGTATTCAGATAGAATATTTGCAAGCAAACATACTGGGAATAGTATACAACCCTGTCTGACACCTCTTTGTATTTTACATATTTCTGTTGATTTTCCGTTTATGCAAGCTGTCGCTGTTTGACGCCAGTATAACTTTTCTATGAATTGTATGTCTTGACTATTAACTCCTTTATCTTTTAATATTGTAATTAATTTGTGATGCTGTACTCGATCAAAGGCCTTTTCATAGTCAATATCATCGTATACAGCGATATATTGCTCGAAATACATATTCGAAATATTTGATTCCATGTTTTGAGTAAGATAGAATCCATTTATCCCCGTCTAAATATTCTTATTTGTATCTTCTTTTTCTTGTACTTGTAGTGCCTTCCGTTTCGGATGTTGGCGACCATCATGGCAATCTGTATTTTGCAAACTGCGGCTCTGAAAAGATTTGTGGTTCTTGTGTTGAACCACATAAGTAGATTTTTCTACATTTTCTTGAAGAATTAACTGCAGTAACCCATATCTTTCGCTGTTCCTCATGATGTGGCCGATGTATTCAATTTTGACTGTTTTTATTGTGGTTAACAACTCTTTTCCTTTTTGCATTCTTTCTTCTTGCATTCCGAAAGCCTCAATTTGCTTACAGTTTGTGAGAGTTCACGACTCAACTCCGCACATCAGTATAGAAACGATATTACATCGTAGTAACCTGATTTTTATGGGTACTGATAAATCGTGGCATATGTATAGCTTAACGATTTTTTAAAAATGCAGATCTTGCTTTCCCTATCCTAGATTTTATTTCCAGGGAATTGTCCCAATTTTCATTGACGTTCATACCAAGGTAGGTGTACGTTTTTCTTTCTTAGAGATCATCATACATTTTATTTTTTTAATGTTCAGTGAAAGTCCATATCTCTGACTCCCTTCTGTGATTCTATTCATTATCATTTGAAGAGCTTCATAACTGTCAGCGAATACCACCGTGTCATTCGCGTATCTGGTGTTATTAATACATTCTCCGTTAATTCGAATTCAGGCTTTAACATTATTTGTTAAAGGTTTAAAGAAGGTTTAAAGATTAAAAAGCTTTTTATAGAATTGCAACTCATTTAGTAGATTTTTAGGAAAAATCCAAAAATTACTAATTAAGGCATTTGATTCAACAAAAAATTGCAAATAACTCGAAAAGAAAGCATTTTTCGAAAAACTACCATGATAAAAAAAGTATTTATTTTAATGAGACACACCTAAAAATTTTAATTTAAAACAATTCTGGAAATTATTTTAAAATACATTTGGAATACAATAAAATACAAGTGACACAGAGAGCTATGAAGAGGTCAATGCTGAATATATCCCTCAGAGACAGAGTATCAAATACAATAGTTAGGAGAAAAACTGCTGTTACTGACGCAGTTCAAAGGCTTACATTGAAATGGAACTGGGCGGGGCATGTTGCCAGATTAAAGGATGGAAGGTGAACGAAGAAAATTCTGGAATGGAGACCTAGACACAATGCTTATCATAATCAAGGACGTCCTCCAACAAGGTGGTCAGATGACATCAAGCGCATTCAACACAACTGAATTCAGGGTGCTCAAGATAGAATATTTTGGAATTATTTACTGGAATGAAAAAAGAAATAGAGGCAAAAGCAAACCAGCAGATGATTTACAAAGACTCCAGATTTTTTATCTAAGCACAAGAAAGACACGGAAGATTCCTTTTTTTCTTTTGGTATATTTCAGCAAATCTTACATTTACTACACTTACACATTTTACTATACTTATTTTCATATAACACTAAATGGGAGTTATGTGTCCAGCAGTGGACTCAAAATGGCTGATGATGATAAACCGCTCGCCTACTAGGAAAATTATGAAGACGTGGTGGAAGCTCGCTCTGCTATCATCAATTTTTTTGGTTGCTTTTATGTCGAAGAAGACCTCTGTTTCTACAGCGGGTGCTATCATTTTATTGGGGTAAAGTACAACCTACACAATTGGTTACCAAAACTATTTTATGTATTTTGTTGCTATTATATTTAAATAGGTTTATTTATAACAAATTCATGTTTTTCCGTGCTGAACTGTATTGAAGCTTCTGCCGGGAGTAGAGACATTTTAACCTTTATTTGGAAAAATGATTTTACATGTAGTGACTTAGTGCGCATATCCCATGTTTTTAATATTATTTTAATTGTGACGTATATGTATATATGTTAGCACCAAATTTTTACATCTTCTTCTTCTTCTTCTGGTAGCACTACAACCCGGGGTGGGTCTTGGCTGACTGCACAACCTGCTTCCATCTCGAACGGTCGTCCATGATGTTTAAGTTAGTGGGTAGCCCCATTGTTCTCAAATCTGACCATATATTATCTCTCGGGTTATTAGGGAGCCTATGAACATGGCCAGCCCATCTTAGACGTTGGGATTTAATCTCTTGGACTACGTCGCTAGCACTATACATTTGTTTGACCTCGGCATTTGTTCTCATTCATGGTTAGTATTCGGATCGTGATAGGGACCGAAGATCTTTCTGAGGATTTTTCTCTCAAAGCATCTGAGTTTACTTTCCATTGCTTTTGTCAGCGTCCACGACTCATACCCATACATGAGCACCGGTCTAATTACTGTTTTATATATCCTGATTTTTGATGTTCGTGTTAGGCTCTTGGATTTAATAGTGTTGTGGAGGCTATACATACATCTGTTTGCTGCCTGAATTATCCCTTTTATCTCTTCCGTGATATCGTTATCTGTGGTGATAGTCGCTCCGAGATATTTAAAACTCTCCACTCTTTCAAAGTTATAGGGGTCTATTGTTACATTTTGTCCTATTCTATCTCGTCTCTTTTGTCTGTTAATGCACATTAATATATTTGGTTTTCTCTTCATTGACCCTTAGACCGGTATTTTTTGCCTCTCTCTCTAATTTATTGAAGGTTTCTTTTACATTGGTGACGGTATTTCCTACAATGTCAATGTCATCCGCGTATGCTAGTAGTAATTTTGGTCCATTTACTGTCAGTAGTTATGTTCTAATTTGTGCGGTTCTTACTACTTTTTCCAGGATTATATTAAAAAGAAGAGGTGACAGCACGTCTCCTTGTTTCAGGCCACTGTTTATTTCAAACGACTCTGAGAGCTTGTTACCTATCCGCACTCTAGATCTACAGCCATTTACACAAACTTTAACGAGCTGGATAAGTTTTTTTGGAACTGAAAGTTCTGCCATTGCATTCCACATCTGATCCCTTTTAATGCTGTCGTATGCTTGTCGGAAATCTATGAAGAGATTATGAATGGTTCTATTGAATTCCCATCCTTTTTCAAGCAGCTGCCTGAGAATAAAAATCTGATCTATGGTCGATCTATTTTTTCTGAATCCGGCTTGGTATTCCCCTATGAAATTTTCTACAAAAGGTGTTAGTCTACTCAATAGGATGTTCGATAAGATTTTGTACGCCGTGTTAAGTAGGGAGATGCTTCTATAGTTAGAGCACTTGGTTTTGTCTCCCTTTTTATGGATAGGAATTATTACACTTCGTGCCATTTTGTTGGTATTTTCTCTTCGTTCCATATAAGTGTTATTAGTTTGTGTAATTGTCTATGTAAAGTTTCTCCTCCATACCTAAGAAATTCGGCAGGTATATTGTCAGAGCCTGGAGCTTTTGCGTTCTTCAATTTGTTGATTGCTTGAAATTTTTCGTCTATTTTTGGGTACTCTACCGGTAGGTCCACCCCAAGATATATATCCTCTCCATGTTCTTCATCTTGGTGTATATTAAGTAAATTTTTGAAATATTCTTGCCATGTTTGGAGTAATTCTTGTTCGTTGATTATTAATTCATCATTATTTTTCCTCAGTACAGACACGCAGTTAGGTCTGAATCCTCTCTTTTCGTTTGACACAGATTTGTAAAATGCTCGACTATTTGACTGTTGTCTATTTCTTTCCATTTCTTCATACTCCTATTGTTCGTATTTTCTTTTTTTCTCTCGTTTTCTTGTTTCTCGTCGTGATGTTGTATAGTTTTCTTTACTTTTTGTTGTTTCTTGTTGAAGCATAATGTTTCGCTTTTTCTGTCTGTCTTGTAGTTTTTCTTGGCATTCTTTATCAAACCATTTCCTTGTTTTCGTCCTTCTTTTTCCTATTATTAGTTAGTTCTGTTGACTCTGTAATTGATTTTTCCATTTGTTGCCACAGCCTTTCGACATCAGGTCTCTGCTCTGGTCTATTCTATTTAGATGTTGTTTCATTTCCTGTACATAATTGTCTCGGATTTCCTTATTTTGCGTTTTCTCAATGTTCCACTGTCCCAATGCTTCGTTCGTTTTAAGTTTCTGTGATGATATTCTCAACCTGATTTTTGCTCTTACTAGGTAATGGTCTGTATCTTCATCTACGCCCCTGAGGCTTCTTACGTTAAGGACATTACTTCCGTGTCTAGCATCAACAATTATGGTCAATTTGGTTCCATGTGGAGTTGTCATTAGAGACCCAAGTCTGTTTATGAATGTTTTTATGTTGGAACATAGTAGACTTTACAAGCATATTGTTAGCCGATGCTAGCTCTACGAGCCTTTGTCCATTATCGTTTGAGATATCGTGGAGACTGTGTTGTCCTATTGTCGGTCTTAGGTTAAGTTCTTTGCCAATTTTTGCGTTGAAGTCTCCGCAGATTATTTGCATGTCTTGGTTGGGAATTCTCTCCAGCGTTCTTTCGAGTTGCTCATAGAAGTCATCTTTGATTGTTTCTTCTTTATCTTCTGTCGGAGCATGTGCGGATATAATTGAGATATTTTACAATTTTCCTTTCAGTCTAATATAACACAGTTTCTCACTAATGGGCGTAAAACTTATAACACTGTTTAAGTATTCTTCTCGGACCACGAAACCTGTGCCGAATTCATGTTTTCCTGTCTGGTTTCCACTGTAGAAAATGACCGCCTTGTCTATTCTTATGTTTCCATTGTCCGGCCACCTTATTTCTTGTATTGCCGTAATGTCCATTCCTACTTTTTCTAACTGTTTTACTGCGTGTATGGCTGCTCCTGTCCGGTACCAGCTTAAGACGTTCCACGTTCCAACATTCAAAGTCAATATGTATTTACATATGTAATCTGTTCGATTCCGAGGCACATTTGCAGTTTTCATAACAGGCTGTTTTTTACAAGGGCAGGTTGTTGGCCTTCCGCTTAACCCTCCTCCTTTATCCGGGCTTGGGACCGGCAAGAATGACTGTTAAGCTACTCGATCCTCCCAACAGTCATTCCAGGCGAAGTTGAATTTTTACATGCTTGTTAATATTACTTCTTGAAAAAGGCATGGATCTCCTGCCGAAACGTCGAAAATAGTTCGTTCACATTTTGTAAAGTAATCTGACGTATTAATAACTATTGGTTTTTGTATCTTTATCATGCGTTTTTTTAATTGATGGGTACTTATAATCTTCTGTATGTATATTATTTGTTTTGTATTTTGTTTACTTGCGTTAAATAAAGTTTATTTATAGTCCTCTTTATTTTATTTGTTTATGGTAATAAACATACCCAAATATGAGCAGTAAGCAATAGCTAGAATGGCAGAAGATGGAAAGACGTGGGGAACATTGGAAAAAGCAGCTAATAGTTTCATGATATCACGATAGCTGGATCAGGTTAACACCTAAGAAGAAGACATCTTTTTCAAATTACTTTAATTGTGCCTATATTCCTCTTTTATTTTTTTAATTTGTTGTTGTAGATATTGTCTCTTTTTTATCTTAGTGTTCTTATAACAGCAGCTTTCTTCTTTCTGTTGAATTGTGTACGTCTTTTTCTCTTGTTTTCTTCTTTGGTCCAATAGATTTCTCTCCTGCCTCTGTTATAGTTCTTGTTATGGAGTACCATTTCTGACCTACATATTCACTTTCATTTTCATTTATTTCCAAAATATTTGTAAATTTATTTTAATTTGTAAAAATAATCACAGCAACAATTTTATTAAGCCAAATTATTTAAAACTGGATACCGCAAATCATTAATTTACAACCATATTTTTTACCGCCTTTTCTACTTCTACTCTTCTTTTATAGCTTCATATTTCCCGAATTGCCACAGATATGACAAAAAATTGAACCAGTGTCTATTAGATGCCACCGAAAAAGTAAAACCATATTTAGCGAAAGGAGTACCAGAGCTGAACATACCTTCATTCGAACCATTTATCATACCAGAAATAAATTTGGAACAAGGCACAAACGCCTTAAACTTTAAAGCTAAGTTGCTGAACACGGAGATACATGGACTTACTAAATATAAGTTTAGTAGATTTGAGTAAGTAATAGTTCATAATAACTAAATACTAACAAAAATATAAAAAAAATCTTAACATTTTATATTAATAGCTTATTGAAAAGTGGTTTTTCTTAGTCAAACGCCAAAATTGATTGTTTCAAAGTTTCAACGTGAAATATGAAGAAACGAATACTTTTTTCGTGGAAAACTCATATAACCTTTTTTGTCTTATTTGGAAAAGTCTTTATTGAAGTAAATATTTCTCTCGGTATGATGTTTTGCACGGGCCTGAAATTTAAATTTATTTATATACACTAGGGTCCATTTTCTATTTTAAGAAGCGATCTCACAGAATGTGGAGTGGTGTTCTTCATCAGCAAAGAGAAATAGAAAATACGTAATAGAAAATGATACAATATAAATAAGGGAACAAACACGCCATGTAATTCGCCAATTCCGACATGGGGCGCAGAAGATTTCAAAGATGGACGATAACTTTGGGAAAACAAATCATTTTGTCATTTTATCTCTAAGTTATAAAACGTTTAATAAAAATCATTTGTACGTGTGTTTTGCCAAAGTAAAAGTTGGAGTACGTTCTTCAAAGTTTATTTGTTTGTTATTCGAGTTTATACATAAGGTAATTGACTCCCAAACCGGAATAAAAATAAAATTAAATGTTTGTTTTCTACAGTGTGTCTGAAACACGGTAAGTAAAATTTATATTAAAGTAAAGTCGTTTTACCCTGTCGTATTAACGCCCGAATAATTTATGACTCTAGTTACAGCCACTCTGTTATGTTTACCTTTTCTACCTGCTTTGTAGTACCGAACCTCCTACTGGTCGGCTGTAGTACTTGAGAATAAATTAGCGCTACCAAAACAATTTTTTTATAAATCGTGAAAAAACGCTAATTGCATTGTGATGATAATTTATTGAAAAAACTTTTATAATTTTATTTCAAATAAAATTGTCTCGAGGAGTGCATCCATTCCTTGCGGTCGCATAACTGGATAATTTTAGTTGTTATATTTGCAAAAATAGTAAACAGTCTGCGGAGTCGAGGCTCTTCATTGACCAGACTCATCGGCCAATAGGGCACCGAGGCCCCGCCCCCTCGTCTATATATTAAGAGAGTTCCGAAAAATCTCGCTAGTATTCAACGATCGCCGGTTTTGAATAGTGACAGTGGATAACGTACAAGAAAACGATAGAACGCCTAAATATAAATTTTTATCTCCGAGTGAGCGTCGAATTGTGTTGAAAGTGGAAAATTATTTTACTTTAGAAAAAATCAACATGGTACCAACTATATTAGTACTGGCAGTTCAAAAAAGGACAAGTGCAGCTTGTGGAATTTCAGAACGGACCTTGCAAAGAGTTCGCAAAATGAGTGAGGAGGAATTAAGCAAGGAAAAAAGGATTTGTTTGCATACGAAAATCCTCGACTTGCCACAAGGTATTAAAATCTCAATCAGAAATATTATTTATGACATGTAGGTACAAAGCAAAAAAACATGTTACATGAAAGACACTTATTCAAACAATAAAGGACAAAGAACTTTGTGATATGGGTTTGAAAAGTTTATCAAAAGTATTAAAAGCTATGGGTTTTAGATACAAAAAAACCAATAATCGTAAAGTGTTGTGCGAGCTGTCCAATGTTGTTGGAAAAAGGTGGAAATTTATTAGAAACTATTTAAAAGAAAAGAATTCCGAATTTGACAGACAGTTTGTGTTTCTTGACGAAACATGGATTTTTGCGAAAGGAAATAATATCAGATCATCCTGGCAAGATGATTCTACCAAATTTTTCTTCGACAAAAAAACTGATGATTACCACGGAAATATGAACGCCGATATTTTTGAACATTGGTTTGAGGAAAAATTATTAAAAAATCTGAAAAATCCGTCATTAATAGTCTTAGACAATGCTTCGTATCACACCAGAGAGGAGGAAAGTTTCTCACAAGCAGCTGGAAAAAAGAAGACTTAAGAAAGTGGCTGTCGGAGAAAAATATAGAACACGAACATCTAGTTTTAAAAGCTGAATTATTAAATAAGTGCAAAGAACACATTACTGAGAAAAAATTTGTCGTCGACCTAATGGCACTAAAATATGGTCATGAGGTCCTAGGACTACCACCATATCACTGAGAGTACAATCCAATTGAATTGGTGTGGGGCATTATTAAAAACTACTATGATAAACATGCATGTAAGATCCCGACGAAGCCAGTGTTTTACAACTCTGGCAAGATGCACTAAACCAAGTCAATGAGGAACAATGGCGGAAATGTATTGAGCATACTGAAAAAAAATTTTTTAGTCATATGAAATAGAACAAGTTATTGGTGAAGTAAGACCTTTAATTATTCGTACAGATGAAGATTCAGATGAATCGGATAGCGAGTCAGATAGTGATGATACCTGTCTATAGATTAAGACGTAGATAGAAAAATTAACACAAAGGGGTACTAACCACCAAAAAAAAAACAAAAAAAAATAAAACAAAAACCGCATGCAGGAGAGAGCCGAGGCACGCCGCTCTTGAATACAAGCACCAAAAAAATTAGATTAGCAAGTAAGGTAGATTAAGGACATGACTGGACGAATGACTGGGTATTAGGCGACGAATGAAAAGATTCGACGCTTGCTCGCTCTCGACTGCACTTGGTGCAAAAAAGGGAAAGAAAGCAAGTATCAGCACACAATTGCTTTGACCGGTAGTGATAAAGCCAAATGGGCTAACCTACCACTTAAATGTAAATACACGGAAATCTCCCATTGCCTGACGGGGGATACCGCGAAATAGTCGAGACCTGGCTCCAAAGACCAGGGGACGGAGGAAAGCCGGGGCTGGTTGTACCGCAGGAGGACAACCTATCTCGGTGGGTTTGGGAAGGTGTGTGTAGGAGGTAGGAATAAGTCTTTGTTTTATATATATATATATATATATATATATATATATATATATATATATATATATATATTTATAAATATATTTATAAAATATATATAAAAATAAAAATATAATCCAAAATTTTGAATACCCAGTATTAACATTGACAAATTTTTTTATGCTTAAATAAAAATAGAGTAAAATTAACTACAATATTAATTTTTGAAGTTGCATGTGTAATAATAAAAAATGTTTCAAAAACTTTAGATATCTCAAAAACGGCTATTTTTTCGAGAATGGTATCCTAATAAAAATTGATCCAAAATTTTACGTAGATTCTAAAAAAAATAACAAAAAGCACAGTTTCTATTTAAAATAAGAAACTTAATGGCGACTTCCGGTACAACCGGAAGTACTAGAAGAATATTTAAAAAAATGAAGAATGCTTTGCATAACCCATTATTCTAAGCTTGCAGAAACCAGTGACGACCAAAACTTTGAAAACTTTTAACCAACATTATGCGTGAAGGGCCCTCGTACTCAAGGATTTCATATTCAATGTTTATCAATTTACATTATGATATTCAATTATTATAAAACATAATACAAGGTTATTTTATTAAAAAAGTCCCTAATGTGGTATTATCAAATTAAGAAAACCGTACATTTTTAATTTGAGAACCGCTGACTACCTGGAGCAAATCTGAACAGACACTTTTATTACTTATGCGACAGGCTAAAACGATCCTACTTTATCTTAATTATTTATATGGTTGCAAGATCGGCAGAGATCTTTAGTTAATAGTGAAGCAGTTTTGGAGCTGGCCACGTTATATTTTGTAAATTACGCCCTACGTTTTCTACTAATATCTTCATGAGACCGTTGGGGTAATTTAGCTGATGGAACAGCATTTTTCTTCAGTCTTCTCAATTTAGTTTCAGGTGTTAATATAAAGTATATTAAGTATAAATATATTAAAATATAAATAATATTTTAATCAACACTTGGAAAGTAATTGTTCTCGGTAAAATGTAAACTGCACACAGTCATGTACTTGGTTATAGGTTTGCCAATTCGCAAAATGCATTGCCAAACTTTTCTCATATTCTCGTCCAGCGGAAACCTATGTTTGGAATTTTTTTGTGAATTATAATAGAATAAACATTGAGGAACACTGCAATAGTTTTGTGAAGTCGAAGTCATTGTTAGTTACAATATAAACCGGTCGCTAATATGTACAAAATAATGACAATTTCAAGGTTTTCCCGAAGTGGATACTTTTAAAATCTACCTATTTATGGCCGGCGCGAGCTATCCCGCTGTTTGTCGGTAAATCTACTCGGTTCAAAAGAAAATCGGAAGCTGATACTTGGCATGACCAAACCTTCGGATGCGGTTAATGAGGTACAGTCAGTGTTGTGGTAATTTTACTATGGAGTGATCTAACGAAGATGTGGTGGAATTTTTATATTTTTATAAACTACCCAACCAAAATTTTTTACTCAAATTACTACTTCTTATTACCCAAATATTTACTAATTTCACAGTAACGTGACATTTTCTCTTTGTCGACATAAACCAGCGAAGAGCGCCATTTCACGAGTTCTCTGAAGCCGCCTTTATTGGTTTAAACTACTATTTTTTAAAGCACAAAATGATATAAACTATATCAATTTTTTTGACCTATTTTATGTAACAGAAAATTTTATAAAATACATATTTTATGCTTTGATAGTATACAAGGCAACTATCGATCACAGTGATTATTAAATCTTGCCCAAGTACTTTCGATCAATAGATCATCTTCAGGGGCATTTCGTCAGTTGTGGCCTATCCGACATGAGTAGAATGCCATACATGTAAATTTGGACATAACAATACAATACACAAAGACAAACAAACACTTTAAAATTTTTAAAAAGGAGAAGCTACATGTTATATAGAAGCCGGAGACAGAATGGGCTCCCGGTCTAGCGGAAATGTTGGGATGATGAATGTCATTGTTTGTCTTTGTGTATTGTATTGTTATGTCCAAATTTATATGTATGACATTCTACTCATGTCGGATAGGCCACAACTGACGAAATGCCCCTGAAGATGATCTATTGATCAAAACTACTTGGGCAAGATTTAATAATCACTGTGTTCGATAGTTGCCTTGTATACTATCAAAGTTTAATTATTCGAACATTCAACCTTATATTGACATATTTTATGAGCAAAAAAACGTGTGAAAAGGTGTTGTTTCTTTTTTGTTAAAAAATTCGAAAATTATTGACTTTTAGAAAAAAATGTATAAAATAAAAGTTGATTAAATTTGGTTAATATATTCACTCTCGGTGTTATTTTTAATAAAAAAATACCTCCCAGAAAGGGTGGCATGCCCCCAGGGTACAAGCATCCTATGGCGCAAGATTAACTTTGAAGTAGAGAGTAAGCAGAACCTGCCAAATTTTGACCCAAAGTGATGCAGGCTCAGAAAATTATACAGTTACGCTGTATTTTACCTTCACTGACTGCAATAACATGAATAACATCATAGTTGATTTAATAGAATACCCAAGTCTGGCGTCACAATCGGCGAGGCTTTCAAAAACTTTTTGAAACATTTCTAATTATTGTTTATTTATCCCATAATAAGTTGGAAACATTGATTTTTTAATTGTTTGAAGAATAAATAAGGACTTTTGGTTATGAACATTCATCCTGTGATTGGTATTATGTGTTCGTAAATATTATGTGAGGTAAGAATATCAATTAAGTATTAAGATATTTACTATAATTGTTCATATTTTAAGGTTATGTTATTGTATGAATAAAACTTTAATTATTTTTTACAGTATTTCAATAGTACATTGTTTACCGGGTAGGAAAAGCTTAACATTCCTGGACGACTGTGAAGATTGTTAGCAACACAGAGTCCAGGAATGTGGCTTTTCCTACGAGGTAAACATACTATTTTTCCGCAAATCGTTTAAAATTCGACAGATATTGATTAATTTAAAAAAAAACGCGATAATTTTATTCCCAAATAAATGGTGCTTTGAAATTCCTAATAAAATTACTTGGGTTACTATGGAAACGTATTGAGGTTGAATTGTCAAACTTGACGCTTATAAATTTAATTGCTGGTGTTCTCGAAAGTAAAATGATAAGTGATGATGAAATTTCCATTCCTGGGACTCCTCCAGAGCTGGTTGAGGCAGTGAATACTGCTTCATTAGAATTATTGCCAAAGAAATCAAGAGAAAAGTACGAAAATGCATACAGACGTTTTATGGATTATCGCATGAGTAAAAATACGAGGTCTTTCTCAGAAAATGTTGTAATGGCATACTTCCTAGACCTTTGTTTAAAGATAAAATCTTCAACATTATGGGCCAATTATTCAATGCTGAAGTCAACCCTTGCACTTAAACACAATGTAGATATATCTACATACTCAAAACTTCGTTCTTTATTGAAACGGCAAGCTCAAGGTTATAGGGCAAAGAAATCTAAGATTTTAACGAAGGAAGAAATTGAAAAATTTATCCAGGAAGCTCTAGATACAGAAAATGTAATGATTAAGGTAATTTACAAGGTTTTAATTTCTATTTAGATTATAGCTTTATTTATTTTTTAGGTGGCTGTAATATTTGGTATTTCTGGGGCCTGTAGAATGGATGAGTTAGTCTGAATGACTGTACACGATATAGAAGACTTAGAATCTAAGCTTTTAATCAGCATACCTGATTCGAAAACCAACAAACCAAGATCATTTGTAATTAATCAGATCTACTTGAATGTTTATCGAAAGTATGTTTCGTTAAGACCAGAAAATATGAACAGTGACCGATTTTTCTTTAAATATCAAAGCGGAAAGGGTTGTAGACAAGTGGTAGGAATTCATCAATTTAGAAAAATGCCCAAAATAATTGCTACTTATTGGAACTTGGTAAATCTGACAGTATCTCTTATAAGAATAGGAAGATTAAGATGGGCAGGACATCTAGCAAGATCACAGCAGAACAACCCTCCTAGAATAATCCTTATGTCACAACCCGTGGGAAGCAGAAAAAGGGGTAGGCCAATACTCAGATGGAAGGATGGTGTAGATGAGGATGGTAGAAAGATAGGCGCAGCAAACTGGCAACGGTTGGCAATGGATAGGACTGCCTGGCGTAATAGACTTGGGAAGGTCGAGGCTCTTTCATAGGGCTGTAGCACCATTGATGATGATGAAATCCGACAGAATATACTGGTCACTGCTTTCGTCGGTCTTCTGCAACAATATTGGTTGACTCTGGTGCCGACATAACTAGTTTAAAGAGGCATGGCGGATGGAAGTCATCAAACGTTGCTGAAGGATATATCGAAGAATCGCTTAACAATAAGGTTGAGGTGGCAAATAAAATTTTCACAGTACAAAATATTCAACAAAATGACACTTCCACCCTGCATGTTGTCCAAAATGTTTCTCATAGTTCTAAGCGTGTTCCTCCAATGTTCAATAATTGTACTAACTGTCTAATTACTGTAAATATAACAAATTGATCTTAAAAATGTATTCAGCAATGACTTGATGTTTTCAAAATATAAATTAATTCCTTATAAGCAATGTGTTTTCTATCATTTATGTAGAACACTAACAACTGTACGGAAATATCATTTCCTTACAGTAAGGAAATGACATTTCCTTACAGTAAGGAAGTCCTGACTTTTTCTTCAAGAAATTTTAACAGGAATGTCAAAATTTCCTGGCGATTTGCGGAAAAGTATTTTGTTGTTGTTTTATTGGGGTTATTTCAAAATAAATCAATAAATCATTCAGTTTATTTATGACGTTAAATAAATATTTAAATTAACGTTTTATTCTTTTTTCGTTGCCGGTAATTTTATCCTGTTAAATACTAAAGATATTCGTTTTCTCGTAGTTTAAGTTGTAATATAACATTCTGTGGAAATCTTTATATCAAATTGTCATAATAAGTGTTTAAAAAAAATGTTTTTTGTATGTTGTAATAATTTTTGCATTATTTTTTTAGATCTGGGCATATAATGGCTAGTAAACATGTGTTGAAGATATCTAGTATTACTGAATTTTTCAGTAATGATAAAAAAACTACTATCAACTATATAAACTACGAGAAAACAAATATATTTGGTCTTTTAAGAGGATAAAATCACTAGCACTTAAAAAAGATTAAAACATTATTTATTCGTAAACAATTTCAATTAATCAATATAACCTTAAAATATGAATATTCATAGTAAATATCTTAATCCTTTGATATTTTCACCTCATAAATTCACGAAATAATACCAATCGCACAGAATGAATGTTCATACCCAAAACTTCTTATTTATACTTGAAACAATTTAAAAAAAACAATATTTCCAACTTCTTATGGGACAAATACACACAAAGAAGAAGTTAGAAATGGTTGGAGAGGTTTTTAAAACTCCCGCCAATTGTGACGTCAGAACTTAAGTAGTCCATTTCTACAAATATGCTAACGTCCATTAAAGGGAATAAAAGAGTTAAAAACACATTTGACATATTTAATTTAACAACCATAGATAAATTATATAGTATACACAGAAATAACAAAGTTATTGATAACATAAATATTCGCATATAATTTTGTAGTTTTGACGTTCCCAACTTACAATTTTTTTGTGACTGCCAAATACAGAACTTAAAATTAAGAGGAAATTATACAGTAACTGGCAAATTATTGCTTGCTCCAATTGAAGGCAAAGGAACATTTACCGCTTCAGTAGGTAAGTATATAAAATATTAATCTTAATTCTAAACTTTTCAAATCTACAGAATAATAAACATTACATATAAATATACACATACCACTAATAAAGAGGTACCCACGGTTCGTATACTTAGTACGGTTGCCTCTTCTGACTAACCAAAGAACATTAAGCCCGAAATTACGTCACGAGAGTACAGGTATTTGAATCGTAACATTGTTAGTCGGCGTTTTCATGTCTTTGATGTATAGAAAATAGTAAAGATAGTTATGAAATAAAGATGTTTAGTGGATTATAATACCTAATTATGAAAAACTGTTGATATGTAGGTAGTTTAATACTTAAAAGGTATCAGAATAAAGTTCTAGATTTACATAAATCTAGGATTTCAATCTTCATTTTACACTAAAAATTTGTCGCATATACTGAATTATCAATATTAGGTTAACTATTGAATGAATTACCAGCCCTTAGAGGTCAGCTAGGATTATCCGAGTTATAATTAATTGTATAATTTAGTGTAAGAATTTAAATAATAGGTAATAAATTTTAATTGGTAAAAAACGTAACTAGTTTATTGTATTTCCAGTAGATATAAATATACACTACATAATTATTTTTTTCATTTTTTTAAATATTTTTCTAATAAGTCTTCAATGATAGCTGTTTGTGATTTCATTGCTACTCTTTTATCTCTTCTTGCTGTAGGTTCAAATATTGTTTGTTTTTAAACATCTTGAGATTTTAAGTTTTTACTCGAAATTGCTATAAAATAGTGATGAAAATAAACAGAATTACATTAAGTCAACAACACTTACCTCTATGCTTTAATTTCAACTCAGGCCTAGTTTCCATTATTCGAGCATACATGTCATCCAGAAAATCATCCTTGAAATGACTACTACATACTCTTGCAGTTTTTATATTTATTTTACCATTTCTGGAATAGCGTATAAACCATATTTTTTCTAAGTTTGTATTTTTGGGAAACGTGAAAAATCCTATTTGTTGATCAGAATTGGCAGACTTCTTGTTTTTATAAAAATTATTTTTACAAGTAACCACACTACAACCTGTGTCTAGCATTCCAAAATGTCATCAACATTATTATTACGTTAATAAACAATGAAATTTTAAAATTTTAACCTACCTTATAAAAAGATATTTTTATGTAAGGTACTCTACAATAGTACGATGTATAACTACAATAAATAACTTTTCTTCGGTAATTAAAAATAAGTTTTTACATAAAACAACAACAAATTTTGAAGTACAAAAATATAAAGTAAACTAATATATTTAAGAAACAATAAATAATAAAGCAATTAATAACTGAAAGATAATTACCACGAACAAACTGTGATAATACATGGGTTTTGTATTCTTGTGTACTCTGGTGACGTAACTCAAGCCCCCACCCCAGTCGGAAGAGGCAACCGTAGTAAGTCTACGAACCGTGACTTAAACCTGACACCTGACACTTATACATACACTAGTAAATTTACCCGTCATTTTATCTTAAATCCCAATTCACGTAAAGTTCTCCACAATTTATATCTTTTAATGTTTGGCAAAAATTAGTCTTCATTGATGTCTATTAAAAATTTATACAAAGTAGGAATCTTTTTTGTAAATAATATTTAATTAAATTTTTTTCGAAGCGATTGTTTTACAGTTTTGTCTATATTAATGAGTTTTTTATCCCTGAGGATGTTTAAGATGCTTCTATCATAATTCCGTTTTTTGTTGTTTTAAGTCTAAACAGCGAAAACACAAAAAATCGGCAAAACACGCTTTATCGCTTGGAAACTTTAATCCTTTCTAAGAAAGTTGAGAGCCTATAAATTGACCCTCTCCTGTTTGGATATTGTAAATACTTTGTACCTGTAGAGATTACATACTTATATCTGTTGTATATAAATTTGCTGCAAAATTTAAGACCAGAATTGAAATAAATTGGTATGTTTAAAAATTTTTGGTAAAACCCAAATGAATATTTTATTTTGAATCTCCGTCACTGATTTATGGTGTTATATTGGGTTTTGTTGTTGATGTTATATTGTTGGTGACATATATATATATATATATATATATATATATATATATATATATATATATATATATATATATATATATATATATATATATATATAAATATATATATATATATATATATATATATATATAATATATATATATATATATATATATATATATATATATATATATATATATATATATATATATATATTATTTTTGCATTAAGATATCCAATTATGATTTTGATGTCGATTCTAGGACGACTATCTACCTTTTACTCTTAGATAACAGATTCGTGGACTTATTCGTTTAAACTGCATAATAATATATTGATTTTTAATTGTATATTTTATAGATAACTGCAATGCGACAGTATACCAAAAGGTAACAACAGAAAAAAGAAAAAATGGATTAGAATTTGTAGTTCCAGTTCACACAAATAGCAGCATGAGCGTAAGCGGTCCCAAAGCTAACTTGAAAGGTCTTTTTGACGACAATAGTGAGTTAAGTAAGTCATTAAACACTTGGTTTTTGTAACATATTTCGAATAAATTTATTTGTTTCAGGTGGAATTACTAACAAAGTAATAAATGATAATGTAAATGAACTATTTGAGGATTTGAGACCAGTTATAGAAAAGATTTTAACAGAAATATTAGAAGATTTATTACTAAAAGCTCTAGAGAGTCAAATTCCATTTGATATGTTGTATCCTCCAATATCTTAAAAATGAGAGTTAAACATTTTTTAGACAAATTTTTTTATTAAAAAATATATAAAAAGTCAAGTCTTAATTTCTTCTGCATTAAAAAAGTTCCAATAAGTATGTATAGAAATACCTAACTTTTAAAAAAATAAAGGAAGAATACATATTTTTTGCAACTTATTTTTAAACAATTTAATGGATTCAAGGACTGTGTGGAAATTGTATTCTTTTTTCTTTCACATAAAGAGGGAGCCTTCATTTTATAGGTTCAAAGCATCGAGTTAGAATCTATGGAAAGGGCATCACGTGACTAAAAACGACCTAACTTCGGCCATATTGGTATTATTGTTTTGAAACTTTTGACAGATCGTATATGTTTGGTTATATTTGTTGTTTTTCGAATATGTTCAGTTTTATAATACTTTTATAGAAACTGTAATATATTTTGATAGTGCATAATAATGGTTTCTTGTTCTCAACGTAGTTGCAGTAGCAGAAGTAATGTTAATAAAAAATCTTCAGGAATATCGTTCCACAGGTTAGTATACAAATATGTAAAGAAAGAAACGATCCGTACTTCAGAGAATAAATTAATACTATTTGACTGTGTTAATTTATCTTTATGTATAATATATCGTGTTTTTAGTGTTTACCGCGGGATAAATAAATCATAGTTTATTAAAAATGTATTGCACTTTTTTAGATTATGATTAAATCTTCTGAATAACTAGTCATATTTGTATAGTAGTTTTATTATTATTGAGTCTGGCCCTGATGTTACCGACATATTGGTATTATCGTTGGGAATTATCCCCAAGGAATTATCCTCATTAACCCCAAGGAATTATCAATTTTTAGTTTATAAATATTTAGGTCATGAAATCCAAATTACCAGGGACAACCAAACTGCTAAACTGCAAGGAAAAATCACTTTAGCACGGTCCGCATATGGAGCTTTATCAAACTCAGAATAACCCAAAGACGAATGGAACGCTCGCTACTTGAACTGGCTCTCAGATACAGCGTTAGAAACGAAGAAATAAGAAGTACAGGCGTTACAGATGTTATAGAGCGCATATAATTGCTGAAGTGGAAACATCTTTCCTGTCCTGCTGTATGGAGTGAAAGCGTGGACTCTAACTGAGGCTATGCTTAAACGTTTGACAGCCTTTGAGATGTGGGTATAAAGACGACTACTGAAAATAAGCTGGGTCGACAGGAGTTAGAATGAGGAGGTCCTTAGACGGCTGAGCCAAACAACACAACTGGTCAATATAATTAAGAAACGCAAGCTGAAATACTTCGGTCACATTATGAGACACCCTGAAAAATATGATCTTTTACATCTGATCATTCAGGGAAAGATCCAAGGTAATCGTGGTCCTGGTAGACGAAGAACATCATGGCTGAAAAATCTAAGGCAATGGTATGGAAAATCAACTACATCGTTATTTAGAGCTGCTGTCAATAAAGTCACGATAGCGAATATGGTAGCAATCATGATATCCAACGATCGATAACGGTCATGGAACTAGAAGAAGAAGAAGGAACTGGGCGGACCATGTGGCCAGCATGAATGATGGGCGATGGACTCAAAAATTACACTGTGGAGACCACAGAAAAGCTAAGAGAACAACCAGAGGCGATAACGTACACGATGGACAGTCGACCTCAAAAAAATCGCTGGGCATTGGCTAAAGGAAGCTAAAGACCAACAGAACTGGAAGAAATTATGGGAGGCCTATGTTAAACTTTATTTATGCGAAAATCTAACTTTTCAAATACAATTATTTTCTTATGTGTACTACCTACGTGAAACATCCTGTATAATTGAGGTTTATTTCCAAATAAATCTATATACATCCCGTATAAGTATCACAGATTAGCAGCACACATGTTATTTGCGCTTTAAAACATTTTAAACGATACTTAAAGCACATCAAAAATAGCAAATAAACTATTTAGTGGCTTAAAGCCACATTAAGAATAATTAAACTGATGATTGGAGAAAACAAAATGAAAAAAAAAAGCATAGAAAAAGAACCATGGGTTCTATGACTATTTTGAAAGATGAACAAGAATTTACTTACAAAACTAGATAAAGTTCAATATAAAGCTCACAGAGTGGTCGGGGAATTTATGACGTCGTCACCATTTCATATAATTCTATCAGAGTGCGGGGAAACACCAATAGATCTTGAAGGATTTGGCTAGCATCTAAATTTATATTAAAAGTGGTAGTATATGAAAACCCAATATATTCCTTAATAGAGCAATTTCATAAAGTATTTCTAAATTACTTTAGTTTCTGGAGAAGAAAATACTTCCCACCAATACTAGCTGCCTTCCAGAATACGCTATATGAGATTCATGAGGTGGTAAATAACTTCTTATTTTCTTGTCACTCCTTTCCGCTTAATTCTCAGATTTCTCTTATGGTCTATAAAACTGTCAACCTAGGGAAAGAAGATAACCAAGCCAACTTTGTGTCATTGTTGATAACTTGGTCTGAATCATGGACGTATAAACACAGATGGACTCAGTTATTTACATACAATTGTGAAGTCAAAATTATTTGAATAGGTCACATTCTCAGCACCTTCAGCTGTTGTCACGTTTTGTTTTAAAATTTCTTATTCGCTGAAAATATTACTCCGTATTTTATACTCTACAGGTGCTATCAAACCAAAATATGAATTTATTGGTTAGATTAATATATTTAATTGTAATCAAAATATAAAGTATGCACCATAGTGTGCATTATCATTTAATAATAACGTATAATTTAGATATCAATCAATTATTGTATATGTAGAAGCACTGAAAACTATTTATAAATGGCAACGGTTGTTTACATTTCTCTGTCTTATGGATCTACGTCAAACTTCAAATGCTGTTCCATGTTTGTTTGCTTTTTAGTAAAAGTTGTTTTTCGATATTTTGGCTGTATTTTGAGTGATATTTGTGAAAAGTGAAATAAAATCAACGAAATATTTACATCCCGATCTCTCATTTCATTTGTAAGTACACAAAATTTACATTATTTAAGATGAGGAAATGAGGAAGCATGTTTGTTTACATTTTAATAGGCGTACCATTGGGTTTATTCATGTTCATTAACGTATTAAAAATAAGATATAAGTTCATGAAATTAGTAGACATTTTTAAATTGTAAGTAGACATCATCTGATTAAAAAAGATCTATTTAGTACCTTTTTAATTTAATATTTTTCATGGGTGCAAATAAATTAGTGAAATGAATAAAACTCATTTATTTTTCTATGTAGGTTTCCAAATAATATTGACGATCAAACTATTTTGGTAGCAAATTTATTAGAAAACATAAAGATTTTTTATTGTAGCATTATTTTGATACCTATTAAAAATTAACTTGAATTCAACTATATTTTATTGTATTAATTTTAAAGCAAATAAAATTGTATTTTAATTTTTCTATAAAGAGGTGATTTCGCACCCTCAGTGCAAGACTGCAGTAACTCAAAATTTTATAAAAATGAAGTAATCATGGAATTAGATTGTAAACATGCATATCTATCCCCTGTAAAACTTTAGTAACTTTCACATGCTTAACCGGCTAAATATTACAACAACAACAGTTTAACTATTTTGCGTTTTTGTACATAAGTTCCGTGCAAAACTGTTGTAACTCTCATGTAACAGAGTTACAACAGTTTTGCACGGAACATTGCAATGGTTTCGATAACAAGCAATATTATGCACGAAAAAAGTGAGATCTTTTTTCATATTCAGTCATATTTGTTATTTTAATATGTATATCTGTGGTGTTTAATATTAATATACAGTGTGTCTACGTAATCCATTAACGGCCTAGGCAATAAACAAAGATTAACGAGACCAAATTATTCATGTAAGTTTTATGTACTTTGTGTGTCATTATATTTTTCATAAAATGTTTGCGATGTCGTTTAGCCATTTATTTATTAGATTGGATTAAAAACACATAAATTAAGACTAATTATTTACAGCCAAAAAGTATTTTTTTATGAAAGGAAAAAACAGTTATATTAAAACTTGTGTATTAACAATACTGACAGGTTAAAAATATCTATTCTCAGAAAACTTGTTCTTTAAAATATAAATCCTAAACTATATTAAATATTCACGTAACCTTTCGGGGCGATTGTCTTATCATATTATTGTCCCCACATAATTCCCAACTTTTACTAAGGTAGTGAATTCCAATCCTTTTGTTAATCACTTTACTCAAGGTAGCCTGATTTTCATATTTTTATTATAGTCGTTTTGTTTTGAATTTAAATAAAAATCTTCAAAAGTTTTACAAATAATGTTTCTACCTTATTATGGCATTGTCATTGCAGAGTGAAGGATTTGTGGCTATCAGAAACATGTGCAGAAATAAAAATATTAAATTGCCGCTAACAATAAACCGTTTTATGAGGTGTAATACCTATTTCTTCTAGGTAGCTATCTGATTTCTTGGACTCTATTAAATGTAAAGTTTATTATAGTTTCTACGATGTCAGTTGGACAAGTCATAAAAACAAAATTCGACACTCAAGTGTCGGCCTCTTTGTAAAACATAGGCGGCGCAATAGCAATTAAATAATAAACTTTTATTTTTAAATTAAGGTCTAATATTTTGTTAAACCGTAATAATATTGTTAATTATTCATATTTCTTTAGGAACTTGACACCAAAGATGATTAAAAGTTAATACACAATATAGTCCATTCACTAACGGTAAAATATTGTAAAAACCTCTAAATTTTAAAGAACCACTGGGATTGATATGAAATTTGTCATACACATATAGCTAACGTGTCAAGGAAAAAAAGTGATATTGTGCCGATGTGTATTTTTGCCCTGGGGGTGAGTACCGCACCTTCTTGGGGGGTGAAAAGATATACATCCAAAATAAGTCCTTAAGTGGATAAACTGACTAATTCTAGGTAACTTTTGTTTTATAGAGGTTTTTACTAAATCAATACTTTTCGAGTTATTTGCGAGTGAATATATTCATTTTTCATCAAAAACACCACGTTTTTGGACGATTTCTC